CCTCCAACCTGTCAATGCTCTTCTGGGTAAATGGGTCCCAGACTGAAGATGCATAATCTAAAATCGGACGGATAAAGGCTTTATATGCTCTTTCTTTCACACAGGAGTTGCCAATCTTTAGATTTCGCCTTAAGAACCCCAAGGCTTGGTTTGCTTGGTTACATACATTGTTGATATGCTCGTCCCTTCTATAATTTGTTTCAGAAATTTTGAGAAACTGGCTGTTAAGGAGATTTGCTGGAGATATCTTTTTCTTATTCATAAATGTCACCAATCTCATTTGCCTGGAAAGCACTCATGTGGACAGATGAAATGAAAATGATTTCACGGAGGACGTAAATATACCTTGCGCAGACCAAATATGTCTTTGGAATAGAAACCATAGCCTCGAAGTCAGCGCAAACGTAAACAGAAGTGGAATTAATTGACCATTGACTCAGTCAGAATAAATAGATTTCAGTAGATAATTAGTACATTTTGTGGTAGCTAAGAAATGTTTCTTAATTTTAACTATAAAATAATAAAAAAGCGAAATAGTTTTTAATATTTTCCCGGAAGTTTATACACAGTTACCGTTCCCAACGAATTCCACAACAATGGCGAGACTGGTAAAATAAAAACATTTCATTTCATTTGTAATCCACTTCCATCGTCTAATCCCTTTCTACAAACATATTTTTCATTATGGTTATTTATTATGCAACCTTTATACTTCATGATTTAAAAACAAAATGTAAATACATATTCCATTCATAAAAGATTTTCGCCGGTAGCTGTGACTTCTCTTATTCTTATTAACCGTTTGTCTTGTGACCGGCGCAATTCTGGAAGTTTCTTATGGGCTGGAAAATTAAATGCAGAATATGGGGACTTATTCATAATAGTAAGGTATCGAAAAGTGTTACGGAAACATGAAACCCTATGATCAGCTGAATTACCTCCTACATTGGCAAAAACAAAAATACTTCTCAATAATAATAATTATTCATAAGTTTTAAGTTTTAACAACTCCACTGACACTGGGTCCACTTTTCTTACTTCTTTTTTCTTCAGTGTAGACTAGGGTGACCAAATCATGAACTGGAAAAAACGTTACACACCCAAGGAGGGAGAGGGGGGTACTCTCCAGCAAAGAGGGGTCTGGGGGCCTCTGCCGCAAAATGTGTATTGAAATATATTCATTTAAACTATTTTGATACCTAGAGCCTAGAAATCTTTTTACCATCTTTTTAAATTTACCTTCACTTTGTAATTTAATTTAAACTCCGAGGCATATCAAAAACGAAAACAATAATTCTACAGTGAATACTTATTTATACATATTTTACTTTTACAACATAATACAACACAACAAATTAAATTTCTCTATTCTAGGATTTAAATCGAGTTAATTGAGGATGTTTGGCTGTTGTCCCAGCCAGTGGCGTAGCTAGGGTTGGTGTCACCCGGTGTGGTAAACTCATGGTGTCACCCCCCAACCCCCCAAAAAATAAATTTGAAAAAATAACCCTTCCATGATGGATTTCTTCTTGTGAAAATAAGTCCACAGTTTAATAACAAAAACATAAAGTGTTACAATTTTTAAATACGTTGACCTCAATGTAAAGCCCCATTTCTCCGAATTCAGATAAATATAGCATCTTGTCACTTACGCAAGTTACAGAAAATTCAATTGTAGTGGAATAATGACTGTGTTTCTAACCTAAACATAGGGTCATCTCATTTCTGATGCATGAACCTTGAACTTTTAATAAAGCACACATTTGGATTGGTTACATTTGTAAAAAATGTATGCCTGATCTGTTATCCTTTTATGTTTCTAGGTTAGACCGAGCTCTGTAAATATGCAAATTTTCAATCGGGTGTCACCCCTAAAATGGTGTCACCCGGTGCGGTCCGCGCCCTCGCACCCCCCTCGCTACGCCACTGGTCCCAGCCATTGTTAAAACCTCCTTCTTATCTAATATGTGAAAATGTGTTTGGTTTTAGAAACGGGACATTTAGGTTTCCCGAGAGACTTATGGTCTAGGCCTGGATATGGCAATCTTTTGGTCTAGGCCTGGATATGGCAACCTACAGCATGCGTGTCTGACTTGAAATGCATAGCAAATTTCATTGGCACAAAGAGATCAAAGAAGAAAAAAAATGTAAATAAAAATGATTAAAAAATGGTAGACCTAAATATGCGTCTAAAATGGCACACTGAATGAATTAGAAGTTTTACTTTCTATTTATATGCTGATGCTAAAAAAAAAAGGTTGCCGACCCCTGGTCTCGGCTACCAACTACTACTTACTCTAGCTTACTATTAATAACCACTTTTTATTACAAGTTTCAATGAGTTCAGTGACTTATTTCGCTACTTTCTGTTTTTGTCAGGATTAAGATGTTGCTTAGTAATTCGCCTACATTTGAAGCTAAGAGTAAGGCAAACTAGGCCCTGTTAAATAACTAATTAGGCCTAGTCATTAATCATTATACATACAAATTACTCATCTGTCCACTGCAACCACTGAATTAGTGTCACTAGACTAAGTAAGATTAAGAAGTCCTGGGCCTATGCCTATACAATTATTTTAGTATATATAGTCTAGACCTAGTGTTAAGTTAGGCCTCTACTTACTTACAGTCAACTGTAAGTCTAATAACTTAAGGTTTAATAAAGTGGAGGTGTTTCAAAGAGCCCTTTCACTCAAGAACTAACAAAACAAAAACATCTGTAATTTGTAATCATAATTAGATATATATCTAGTCTAGACTTAGAATATAGATTTTAATTTTGGGGAAAGATTATCAATTTTTTAATAAATTGATTAGTATCTGTGTTGCAATTTTATGTGCAACAATTTAACATGGGGCTGAATCACTTTTCCAAAAAAGCTAATTCTGTAATAGTGATTGTTTTTTATCATGATTTGGATTTTGCCAAGTTATATTGCTGTTTGTCTGTAATGACAGATTAAGTTAATATAAATTCCAAAATCGCTATCTTTGCATCCTGTTTCAAGCAATTCAAAAGATGGAAGAATTTATGGCACATGTCACTAAATCTCCTAGCATATAATTTCAGACAAAATAACACTCTGATAAGTAGCAGGCATTTACCATTTTTCCAAGATTTGTAATAAAATGTGTGCATACAACATTTCAAAATTATTTGTTTAGGGAACAAGGTAACCAAAAAAATAACATAAATTTATAATGTGCCCACAATTATCTAAAAATAGGTAAATAGGTCTAAAATATTTAAATCATACTACCTATCCTAAATAATCAAAACCCTAATGCTACTTCAATAAGGCGAGTGCCTGCATTTTCCCCTTATTTTTTACCTTGCAGTAATCAAGAATGGAATAAACAAATTTTAAGAAATTGTTAATAAAACAAATCCATCCCAGCCAGTACTGGATATCAATATTTTAATGTTAAAAAATCCTCCATTCCTTCCTGCTACTTTGTTAATGATATACACCCATTCTTTGTTTTATTGCTATAAAACTTTTAAGCTAAAAATTTTTAGCAAGTAACCTTGGTTAGACCTAATTAACGAAACACTATTAACATGAGCTGGAGGTGTGTGTCAAAATCAAATAAAGAAAAGGACACTTCTTTTGGTTTTATTTTGAAATATAGGTACAATTACAAACAATTTTGAAATCTCCCAAATGGTGTGTTACATGAGTCATCTTAACACATTTTCTTATTTTTCTATCATTTTAGAATGCACCAATCATCCTCCTGAAAGAAGGAACTGATACATCTCAGGGTAAACCTCAGATCCTCAGTAACATAAATGCATGTATGACTATTGCTGATGCTGTGAGAACTACACTGGGTCCTAGGGGGATGGACAAATTAATTATTGATGATAAAGGTCAGTAATTTATAGTTTGTAACCCTATAATTACTGTGAATTGCATTTTTCAGTAGTGTCAAGCCATTTTTAGCATTTTCATATGCTTGTAAAAAATTTAAAAATCCCATACTGAATGAATTCAGTTACCATTTCAAGAATACATGTTCTGAACGTACATTGAACAATTTATTTTATGGTATGAAAAGAATTTGATTTTATATACTTAATGTTGATTTTGATAATGACTTTACAGAGTGAGTAAAATTTTACTACAGTACTCGTCTGGATTCAACCTAACCTATACTCCGTAAATTATACATTTTTCTTCCAATAATAAAATCATGTTTTTGGCATGCTAGAAGTATTATCCTTTCATAAAATTGTCAAGTTATATGTACTGGTACTTTTATTGAAAATTATACAAAATACAAGGGGGAAGGCACGAATTGAGTTCAAATATTACTTTTGAAATGAAGTTATTGAATCCATTTTTATTAGGGGTGTGCCGGATCCGTTTTTTCCAACCGGATCCGGATTTTCTTATGCGAAATCCGCCGGATCCGGATTCCGGTTTCTCCCGGATTCCGGATTTTGGTACTATTGGTAGATACTTCGGTAAGTCAAGGTGGACTACTACTTTTTGTGTATGGGAATTCGCAATCGGCGCCAAAAAATCCGAGTTTTTAATTTTCCGATGTGTGTGTCTATTTATTATTAAATTAGTACTTTCGATATATATTTGAGTTCCGTTCCATTTGGATAAGTGTCTTACGAGAGACGCCATGTTTCTACGCGTTCGCAGCAGGTTATGCAGCTCGCTCAACCTAATTTCGCCATGGGGTTGGCCACGCCCCCCTTTTTAATGGCGGAAGTTGACGATACTTAGGAAATATTAATTTATTATCACTATTTACATCAAAATAATTGATAACTTGTGTTTCAGAATGCATTTAAAGACATTTAAACTGGAATGTTTTAATTTGAGCTTTAACAACCCGGTAGAATCCATATTATAAATGATCAGAATTTACCGTGTGCAACACGTTGTCATTGGCAACCATTCACAGCCACTTGCATAACTGTATCGTAGTACTACCTCAGAGTTTCATTCATAAGAGTTTGCCGTGTGCAAAAACTATTAAACCATTGGTCAGGGAAAGCTTTAATTAATTATTCATGTGCCAAAGTTGAAAGTTTAAACTAAGTCTAAACAGTATTTTAGTGATAAGGCAGGGAATGCGTTGCCTTATATAAACTATATAGTCATTGCGCATGACGGGATTGGTGGAATGAGATCACAGAATGTGGAGATGCAGTCCATGTTAAAAAATGACAAACCAAGTCGTACTTTAAAAATTCATAACTTTAAAACTACAACAGCTAAAAATATGATTTTGGTGTTATAATTCTTTAAAAAATTACATCTTTTCAACTATGCCATTGGTTTATTTTTACAAAAAGTTTAAATTTTCTTATCAAAGTCCCTACACTATTGGCCACTATTAGTGGTGCTGACTCTAGCCTCTGGTATGTACGGAATATTAAACATTAAACAAGCTCAACGCTCGAAACAATCGATTAATGTATCGTGATCGTGTGAAATTCGGGAAAGAGAATTACTTTTATTTCAGATTATGATCCGGTGAGTCACAAAATCTGGCAAATTCCGAAATCCGGTATATTCCGGAATCCGGTTGTTCCGGATACATGTAAATCCGGCGGAACCGGATTTCACCGGATAGTGCAAAATCCGGCGGAACCGGATTCCGGACCGGGGTCCGGCACACCCCTAATTTTTATTAATTAATACTCCCGACCATACACAAACAAAATCTTTGAATCTCTTTAGGGTAGGTCTTTAGGATCCAATCGTCTTTTCTTTTTGATCTCCACCCTTTCTCAAACAATTTAGTCCGTAACATTACCACTAAGCTTAGGGCTAAAATTTTCAAGATCTGACTATTTTGTCACCATCACTGCTAAGGCTAGTCATTTTTAGCTCATGGAATGTTCTAAACTCTGGCTTTAATTTTAATCAATCTGAAATAATTCCAATAGAGAAAGTCTGGTTTGATTTTGCAATCTAGAAGTAGGGGCCCTCTTCAAAACAAATTTCACACCTGATTAATCACAATAAAAGCCCTGATAAAAGCATGTTAACACACATATAGAAACATAAATAGGAAGCAAACTCAGAAATGCATTATAATGAAGATTTTGCTAGCGAGCAATTATATCGACCATGATACCACAGAAAAGGTTTTAACAGTAAATGAATGGTCATTATGACAGTTATAGGATTAAGTCAACATAACTAGATTTATTAGTTTGTTCCCATTTATCCATTGTCCTTTGTAGGTATTACTATGTTCCTTTGGATTAATTTTTTAAGATATATATTTTAAAGTACATTTTTTAATATGTCATGTGAACTAATAATATTAATGTCCTAAAATGAAATGATCTTTTGATGACTCATGGTTTCTTTAATAATCCTAAGGTTGTATCTTGAGTTGAAAATATTGATTTTTTGGCTAATAGATGACAAATTGATTTTTTATTATGCATCCCAAAATTCACTCCCTCTTGCTCTTAAGTAAATGTTTTATTTAGAAAGTCTTTGGAAAATAAAATATTTTTTTAGAAATGGCAGCATGCATTGTTATTATGGCCCACAAATTCTATTTGAATAAGAAAAGATTGGAGCATATTATTTAGACATTTACTATTGGCTCATTAAATGGTTTGACTGGTTGCAAAGTTAATAAACACCAAAGTCGGTGATACACTAAAGCTTTTATTGAGAAATCCATATTGCTAAAGTCACAAATGAGCTAAAACAGGACAAATAAAGACCTAATTACTAGTTATTAATGGTTTACCAAAATAATTTTTCTTTGAAAAATAAAATAGATCAAAGAAGGAATATACTAAAAAAAAGGGAGGTGTAGTGTTAAATGTTTTATCATAATTTTCATGAATTTGAAATTTCAGGGAATGTCGTCATTTCAAATGATGGAGCAACTATATTGAAAACTTTAGATATTATTCACCCTGCAGCTAAAACCCTTGTAGACATAGCCAAGTCCCAAGATTCTGAGGTATAAATAGCATATAATTATTTAAAAAAAAAATCTTTGGCTTTGATTGAATTTCATTTTATCTAATCCTTTTGTTTTCACTCCTGCACAAAAATATGTCATCAAGCTATGACTATGCATAACAGGCTGTATGTATCCATTGTATTTTATACATATTGCTCAATATAAGTACCCAGTAATAGCAATAATAATGTTTTTTTTCAGGTAGGAGATGGCACAACATCAGTCACACTTTTAGCAGGAGAATTTCTGAAACAGTTCAAACCATTTATTGAAGAGGGTGTCCATCCACAGATAATAGTAAGAGCTGTTCGCAAAGCTCTTGCAATGGTGAGTCAGATTAATTAGACACAAACAAATTGTGTCAATAGAACAATATAAGTTACGCTTTAATAATAATTATACATTATACACAATTAAACGTTTCGGCACATGCATTCATCAGTAAAAACAAACAAAACACATTTAAGTAAGTATAAATTAAATTTACATAATATCAATATACATATCCTACCAAAACAGAAAAAATATTGGAGAGGGTGCTAAAACCAGACAAAAACAAATTAAAGAGGAGTAGAAAGGAAGTGATTTTAACATAATTGTAAAAAACAAACAGGAAAAAGACATGGCAGCTAAGTGAAACTGTGGATTTGGTTCATTCCATATGGAGACAACGTACCAAATCTAGTTATTAATTTGTTCTCCATATAGATTCTATCTGCAGTGTTACTAGTATAGAGTATACCAGTAACTGCAATGTCTGAGATACCATCATGGTTAGGGCTATTGAAATGTTTGGAGACCTGACAGAGAGCGGTAAACTATACATAGGAGAGACAGGTCGCCGCCTTGGGGACCGTTTCAGAGAGCACCTCTATAACATAAATAAATAAACACGCTCTCTGTCCCATCTTTTTCTTTGTCTTCCTCTTCTTCTCCCTCCTCTTGTGGTGCCCTGCAATATTTACTACTTTGAGAAAAAAATCAGTTGTTAAATGTTCTAAGCAACTTTTTACAAAAATAGCTTACTGTACTGCATAAAAATCAGTTCCTTTTGTGCTGTGTTGAGAGTATTGCTGTAGGAACATATGAACAAAAAATGCTTAACTCTCGAAAGACGAGAGATTAAAAAATAGGTCCTATTGCATAGTTATATTTAACCATGTAGAGACAGGTGTGCCATCGGCCCAAGTCTTATGGCGAAAAAAACAAAAGGCCGATTTGGCTGGCTGGCCCAATAATAAAAGCCTAGAGATTTACTGGATGGTGTTCGTACAAGCTAATCAGATTTTTTCTCGTATTTCTTACTCATCTGGCCATTTTAATGGCGGCTCCCATTGATAGTTTATGGTGTTCTGTCATTTTATATAAATTTTTTTTTGCTAGAGACCCCTGAAAATGCTTTAAAAATATGTTACCTTGAAATATGCCAAAAGGCATAAGCAGCCCCAAGGGAATATTTTATGCAGTTTTTTTACACCCAATAATCTCATTCAAGTATTTGTTAGGACTTTTTAGGCTTCAACACTCATAAATTGAAAAAAAAACTTCTGCCAGGAAGACGTTGATTCTAATTGTAAAACAAATAGTTGTATACATAAATTATGCAAATCAGGATATCTCATATGAATAAATACTTAAATTTCAGTTCGATTCATAAAGATCATATTAGCTCATTCAATTCCTTACAAGAATTTTTTTTTACACAAAAAAAATATGCGCATGACAATTTGCCAAAAAAAACTTTCTGTTATTACAAATTGGTGTTATCAATTAAGTGGACTACTATGTATGCTGGACGTTTTCAAGCTCCTTTTATTACCGATACAAGATTGTGGTCCAGGAAATACCTATACAATGGACTTTGCAAATGTGCCTTTATGACTAAAGACAGAATCAAGGCCATAAATATATGGATGGTGTTAAATAAAGTTATCAGCTGATCAATAAATATCATGTTCTTAGAAAGACAAAAGAATTATTGGAAAACACTTTTTAATATTTTTTTTCTAGATATAGGTCAACTTATACTCAAGAATTTAGACAAAGAAATCCTGACACTGACACATAACAGAAAAATATGGAAGACCAGTGACTTTTGGTTAGCTAGAATTTACAGAGTAAGGGAGTAAGGGAACATAGGACTATTTGATGATGTGCTGGTGCGGTTGCTGTAAAATCACTGATTTTTTTAGGCCATGGGCTGCAACCTGAGTAAGGACCTATTAGATCAATGCTTTAATTGTGTTACCAAAGAAATGGTTAATGGGTCAGAACAAGAGTCAGTTGTGTTGTTTTTTTATACCCGTACATATTTATATTTAATAAAGACAGAAATTGTTTACAAGAATTTCATAAAGAATGACCTCTTCGAATGACTAAATCATCTGATAACTGAGTGGTGTAAAAATAGGAAATTCCTTTAAAAAAATATTTTTTGCATAACATTTATTCAAAATTCATTCTAAGAAATCATTTTCTAATCGATAATTTGATGCATTATCCTTTTTTTTCTCTTCATTTTTTATTTAAAAAAAAAATAAATTTTTCTTATATAAAAATTTATGGAATATCTTTACTAACTTTACTAAAAATAATTATTTTTTTGTGTGTCTATTCACTTAAAATCTGAATATGTTTTGTAGCATTAAATATATGACAATAAAAGATGAAATTTATTTCCATAAATTGAAACAAGTTTTTTGCTTTGTTAGAATTTGTGATGCCCAGTTGTCCATTATATTTTGAACTAAAACCTGTTGTAAATTGAAGAGCATTTAAAATGATATACTGGTTGAATACTTGAAGGTGGCTACACAATTGTAGCCCTGAGATCCATTGAAAATTGGTTCCGTTATTCAAGAACATAAATATAATACAAGAAAAATCTGCTGTCTTTGAGAGTTAAATCCTTTATGCTCTTTTACAGGCACTAAAAAAGATTGGTGACATTTCTGTACATATCAAGAAAGATGATGCAAAGTAAGTTTGATTAAATTGAATTTACTTGAAATCTATATACTGGCAGAAATATTTATGAAATTATGTTATATATAGTAACTAAATTCTCTTTTGTAATTAAGCAGTTTTTTTTCCAGAATTGCTTTCTGAACATTATTTGTAACTGCCATAGATCCTAAAATAATGTAAACGTTACACTTGACCATCTAAAACTATACTGTACCAGATCTTGAAACCAACGACAAAAGAAACTATTCAGGTCTTAAACCCAGCAACCAAAAAAACTATTCAGGTCTTAGGCAGCCTCTCATTCACCATTTTAGTTTGAATTAATCCGCATTGTAATTCTGTCACCTTGTCTTTGTAACAAGACCCACCCATCCCCATCTATTCATACCTTGTCATATAGCACCTTTTGTATAAAATTCACACATAATTTTTAAGAGAAATAGATTTTCACACTTCTCATTTACCAAAAATGGCAGAGTGAATCAGCTGTTGTGTGTGATTTATTTCATTGCTATCAATCATTTCTCTTACTTAGTATGAAAAACTTTTACTGCAAAACTATATAGCTGCTATTTTGGATTTATTTTTTACATAGAGTTTAACTTAACTTTTTTACTTTTAAGGCATTCAAAGTTGCTGCAACAACGGAGAATTTAAATAACAACGGAGAATTTAAATATGCTTGTTATTGTTAAGGAGAGAATCAACTGATTTTTTTTGCACCTTATCAATGAGTAAAATTATGCTCTCCTTTGCCTAGGGAATTAAGAGAATTGCTGGAAAAGTGTGCTCTAACAGCTCTAAGTTCTAAATTGGTTGCAGCTCACAAAGACTTTTTTGCCATAATGGTGGTAGACGCTGTCCAGATGTTAGATGACTTGCTCCCACTTAATATGATTGGTATTAAGAAAGTTCAAGGAGGTGCACTGGAGGTAATGTATTTGGAATTTTTAAAAATATAAATATTTAAAATGTGTATTTATTGTGTGGAGCTGAACACTTAATAATCCACACCATGTAGCTGCTACGCTAGTACATAGCAATACCTGTTAAGAATTTGTGAACAATCTTTGCATCGATGAACAAACATCATGAACTTATTACCTTCCCTCTTATATTTTTATGATTCGGCTATATGTTAATTAACAGTAACATTTGATTACCATCCATTTCAATTAATTGTTTTTTTTACATTGATAATTGTAGTTCATTGTAGTTTTGTTAATTGCATGCTTCATCCACCCCACTGTGTATCTTGACCATTTCCATTTTGAAGAACCAGACATGTCAAATAATCCAATGAAACATCAATTAGAGATGTTTAATTATTTCATTTGTTGTAATGAACTGACATGATTCATTGAAAATTTATCTGTAAGTGTGGTGAGTAAAAGCTGAAACTTGAATTTGCTGTTCCACTTTTTGCAGCTTACATCTTTGTTACAGATAGTTGTATGAAAGTATGATATTTTTTATTAAAAAATTGACATTTCTTTGAAAAATGAAGTTAAGAATTTCTAGTCAGTTTTGTACTATGTTTGGCTTAAACATGCATGTTGATTTAATTTCTTTTTGGTAATAAAGTGCTATATAGTTATAATTATAATGCTTTAATTAAAATTGTTTTTATTTTCATTAAAAATACTTAATCTATAATCTTTCTTATTGTTTTTAAATTTTATGCAAATAAGTAATAATCAATTTTTAAAAAAATGCTGGCTTTCATTGTTATGTTGATCTCCTACAGGAATCCTTGCTGGTTGCAGGAGTTGCTTTTAAAAAGACATTCAGCTATGCTGGATTTGAAATGCAGCCCAAGAAATATGAGAATGTAAAGATTGCTTTACTAAATGTAGAACTGGAGCTGAAGGCTGAAAAGGAGAATGCTGAAGTTCGAGTGGAGTCTGTTCAGGTTGTTTTTTTATAATGTTAGCGGAATAATATATTAGACAACATAAAGAGCTTAAATTTTATTTTGAACTACACCAATCTGCAAGTTAAGAATGTAATAATTAAACTATGAAATTAGATTAGCAAAATTTTAAAATGTTTTATAATTGTACCAAAATAGGAATACCAGAATATTGTTGATGCTGAGTGGAAAATCCTTTATGAAAAACTTGATAGTATTCATCAGTCTGGAGCCAAAGTGGTACTCTCTAAGCTTCCTATTGGTGATGTGGCTACACAGTATTTTGCTGACAGGTCAGTGAATATATCTGTTGATGTAACTTGATGCAAGGGTAATATAATGAGTTGATTTCTTTGTACTGATAATGTTGATTAGCTATAATTTATACTTTCCTAAGTTGTGAAAATGAGTTTACTATTCACTGTAGATGCTTTTATTTCTTAACGAAGTTACACTTTGAATTTTTCTCTAGAGATATGTTCTGTGCTGGTCGTGTTCCTGAAGAAGACTTAAAGCGCACTATGAAAGCATGTGGAGGCTCAATTCAAACATCAGTACAGAATCTCACAAGTGATGTACTCGGATTTTGTGCCAGCTTTGAAGAAAATCAGGTTGGAAGTGAAAGGTATGTTGTGTAAATATTTCTGTAATTTGCAATTAAATACTATTTGATATTTTTTCTGACCATCTAATTGCTTTTTTTTAAAACTGTAATTAAAATTGCAAAGTTTTTTATTTTCAATACCGGTATATGTTTATATATTTTTTTGTTTAGGTACAACTTCTTTAAAGGGTGCCCTCAAGCAAAGACTTGCACAATCATCTTAAGAGGGGGATCTGAGCAATTTATGGAGGAAACTCATAGGTCTCTTCATGATGCCATCATGATTGTTAGAAGAGCAATGAAGAATGACTCTGTTGTTGCAGGTGATGACCCATTTGTTGTACACATTTGAATAGATTTAATATAAAACCTTACCATATTCAGATCTGTTTACTCTTCTGATTTTGGCGTACAATGTACAATTTTAAGGATTCTTTAAGATTGTATGCCAAGAACTGTTACAACTTCGATTTTAAGAAACCGTGTTGAAAATATATACATTCTGGTAGCTTTTCCTACTAAGAAATAATTAAAAGTACATTTTTGGTTGTTAGTTTTAACCTGCTTTCTACCTCCAGCAGTTACTGGATTAAGAAAAGAAATAAGATTGGTTGGGGACCAATTATAATTATATAACATTTGCCCTGAGATGGGAAGGCAATGGTGTTGATTTAGGAGCTTTTGTGTGCGAGGTGGGGTGGGTTCTAAATATTTAAGTGTATAAAATTAACACTGCCACATTTTTATAAGGATAGAGTGATTGTCATATTGTTGCTTTGTGTGTTTTCATAATTTACTCGCTAGGCACGGCAACAGCATTATTAGCGTAGTCACCTTAGTGACAATTTTAGTCAATCCTCGCTTTTTGTTTTCTTCAGTGCTGCATGATGTAGTTTTCTGACATAATTTCGTTCTGCTAACCGCGGCGAGTGCAGAAAAGGAAAAACTGGAGAAAGCATTCTAAACTGTTCCGTTCAGCAACATTGGATTTCAACATATTTTATTGGATCTGAGTGGGCTGTTGAAATCTATTTTTAGAAAACATAAAACGGCTGTACAATTTTTAATACCCCTGTTAAGTTCCGACACTCCTCTTCCTTTCTCCCATTTGCAGCTTGAAATAGTTATCAGACAATAATATATAGCAGGGAATAGGCTAAATGGATATTGATTTTTATATTTTTTTTTAAACCAGCTTTTCCTAAGTTATAAATCTCAAGTTACTTGGTACGTTTTTAAAATTATGCCATCATTTAATTAATTAATTATTTCAATAAATTTCTTTTTAAGCTGATCTGATTTAAGCTGAGTTTGAACCACATTAAATTTCACCAACTTTACTTAATTTTTACTTGTGGAAGACTGTATAAAATATGATCTGCACCTTCACTAAATATAATTTAATATAGCCAATATTTGTCTTCAAAACCAAGTGAACGCAGATTGCAATGTAAATGTCTGTCATCTACTTCTAGAAGTTACCTTTTTTGACGCCAGCTTAACTCGATCCCACTAGATACGCGATGCGAGAAGTTATAAAATACTTTTTAAATACTGTGTTGATTTATTGACTATTACGATTTTGAGATGATATTGTATGATTGTAGTTCAAGGGTAAACAAGTTTCCATTCATATTTACAAATAACATTATTCCCCAGTGGTTATTTTATCTCATTTACAGTTCATCAGTAACAATAACTTAATACATGATTTCACATTCAACCATTTATTTCGTATCAGAGAATATCATATTTTTCTTCAGTTAATTGAAGGCATATGCCATCCAACTTAAATTCTAAATAATGATGAAGATGTTAAAATGCCATTTTAAACAGGTGGTGGTGCTATTGAAATGGAATTATCCAGTTATTTGAGAGAACAATCGAGGACAATCCAAGGTAAAGAGCAGCTTCTCATTGCTGCCTATGCCAAAGCTTTGGAAGTTATCCCCAGGCAATTGTGTGATAATGCTGGATTTGATGCTACAAACATTTTGAACAAATTAAGACAAAAGCATGCAGCAGGTAAGTTGATATTTTGTTATAACTTATTTTAGTTTCAAAACATCCTTAAAAATTTTGTCCTATTGGATATTATATCCGCTTTAAGCTAATTTAATTTTAAATAACCTTTGGATTTGATTTTAAACTTTTTAGGTTCTAGATGGGCAGGTGTTAATATTCTGCAAGAGGACATCTCAGACAACTTTGAAGCATTCGTGTGGGAACCTTCCGTGGTGAAGATTAATGCATTGACGGCAGCTTCAGAAGCCACATGCCTAATTTTATCTGTGGATGAAACAATTAAGAATCCAAGGTCTGCTCAAGATGCACCCATGGGGAGGGGTCGAGGAAGACCAATGTGATCTTTTGTTTGTTCATTTTTGTTTTTCAGTTTTACCGTTGTACTTTTTGTGCTGTTCAATAGCAGCAATGGAATGAATGATAGTAAAATGTCCTTCCTTAAGCTCATTTCTCGTCACCTTTTGTGGTGCTATGATACAAAAATATCCAGAATGATATTTATATGCTTCACACACTCATTAAATAGGGATGGGCATATGTCAGAATCATTAACAAGAGTGGATCAAAATGCTTTTGTGATATTTGTATTTCTGCTTATTAGTATTTAACAATTTTGACTATGTTCCATCCACCTAGATCAGTTTGAAATTGTTTATTTTTTTAATTTAAACATTTTGTATTTCATGTGTGCATGATTTTTCAGTATGAATTAAAAAAGCTGACTTTTTTTACATATGTGATTGGCTTATTTTATAAATTAGTAATTAAGTGGATTTTTAAGTTTTCATCTCAAACTGGAGATGAATAATTACAGGAATTTTCTATACAGTCAGAAGAAATTTGTGATTATGAAAATATTCCTCCAGAGTAATGGATACATTTTGACAGTTTTATCATCTACCTCATGAGCACAAGACTTGTAGAAAAGTAGGTGAGGCTGAGTTATTTTATAGAAGCTAATTACTATGCCTACTCTATTAGTGGCCAACCCATTTTTGATTGGGGAAGACATCATGTCAGTCAGTACATCTACTATCAAATAAAATAAACACCAGATAAATGATACCAGTATAAATAATTTTTTATTTATACCTAATGCAAATCATTTTCAAATAACATCTACATCATATGTGCCGCCACACACAACTTGTACAGAATATTTTGAGGTATAATTCTTTGGTGTGTGTATATATATTTACATATATATTTATACATGCACACTCGGTTTTATTGTAGATAAAAAAAAAAAAGGAGCAGAAGTCAAGATTCCTGAGAGAATGAGGGAGGGGTCCAGAAAAATTCAAAATACAGGGTTGCATTTTGGTGAATACTTGATTTAGTTTTGCATCATTCTACACAGAATCTGAGAGCAACAAAAGAAATGTCAGTGGAACTTTAGTTTCCCTTACTTAACTTACTGAGCTTATGATATGCTTTATTTTAGCATTTAGTAAACAATATTGTTATATAATTTTTATATATTAGAGAATACTAATTTGAATTTATTTGAAAAAATTACTCCTAAGAAAGGGCAGGTATGCCATACTCATACTGACCTGTAACAACACATCACAAAAAAGCACTATACATAATTATATATACCATACAATACATTCATCAATTGCAAATGTGGGTTTATACCAGAATTTAATGGGGGGGGGGGGGGCTGCCCACCCCTTTTTGATATAACAACATAAAAAAAGCATTAAAAAATAACTTGAAATAAAATTTAAAAACTTAAAAAAAAAAAAAAATGGGGGTTTAAAACAGAATTTAAGGGGGGGGGGGGGGCTGCCCACCCCTGTTTGGTATAACCACATAAAACAAGCATTCAAATATAACTTGGAATGAAATTTGAAAACTTAAAAAAAAAAAAATAATTGCAAAACAATCACCTTTCAATTTTCAACAATTAAGTTGTAGCTCTTAAGAACACCAATGTCACTTCTAAGTTTCTTCAATTATATTATATGAATTGCAAATTTAAATAACATTAAACATTACTTGACAATTCTAGCCAACACTAATACTCAGATGTTAAATCACAATATAAAAGATACAGATAAGGTATGACTAGTGATGAAATGCACCATTTTAATTTCAATCAGTTCGCCTTGCACTCATTCAAACAGGATATAAAAAAATTATCAGTTTCAATAAATTAATTTCTTAAAATGCATATTGAAATTATTTTTAAAAACCACATAAGTCCAACATGTTTATTTCTTTGAAAATCAAATCTTTTTGCATTGAACTATAAAAAGCAAAGTAAAGCGTGATTAAAAACCCACTCATTTGGGTGAGTCCTATCTTACTTTTTAATTAAAAGCAGCATTTCATTAAAAGTATCAGAATGAAGTGACCTAAAATAAAAATTTAGCACTTCATAATTTATTTTTATCGGGGAGAAACTCAAATTAAAATTTGGTAATTTTTAAAATTTTCACTTAAAAGAAAGAAATACTTTAAGGAAGCTGATGTATTTTTTGTAAAAAGGTAAATTTTGTAAAAAGGTCTAGCCAACAATTGTAACAAATGTAAGAATTTCTAATGAAAGTCTTCAAAAATATGATTAAAAGCATGTAAATTTATTTATTCTATTAAAAAAAGGATGAAACTAGGTAATAATATGATCGAATTATATATTTTAAAATATAACCATTCATTTCATGTATGACAACTGGCACATTCGAGAAATTCAATTCTACTATAAAAAGCGATTTAAAAGAATAACAACCAATAGTCAATAAAAAGGACAAAATTCACAAGGAAGGAAAATTGGTGATAATGATCAGATGAAAGAAATAGTTTGAAACAATTTTAACCAAATGTGCTAAAATAAAAATTTGTATAGATTTGAAAAACAAGCATTTGTAATTTTTACCTTTACTGATTTCCAGTAACCCTTAAGATTTTTCTTCAATGAAATATTATGAACCCAACTGGGTTTCAAGTTTGCAAAATCTTTTGAAGAGTACCCAGCATGTTAAGTTTTCTCATCACATTGGGTATATCTACAATCCAGAAATAATTTAGATGAACTGTATGGTTACAAAATCCATATCCTACACATTAGCGTCAAATATGACACAAATAGGTTTTACCCCTGAATTAGTTTAAAAGTAAAAATTTGGAGTCGATCATATTAACCTTAAATTGAAGTAAACTTATATGGCACCATAAGTGCTCATCCTCCTATATCTGACATCCTTTGATCCCTGTATTCTCTTCCCCTGTGCAGCCAGTCCAATGCTAACCACAATGAACAAACAGAAGAGTACCATGAGAAGGGAAAAAGTTATTGTATAAATTGCAACTTCTGGGTAGTTTTCTGGATAATTTCCACTTTCATTGAGGACAAATCCCAATGTCCAACCAACCTCTGTGGCAGAAATCTGAAAAGAATAAAAAAACTAAAATAAAATCATATTTGCTATTACAATCTTTGAGTTGAAAAATTAAATTAAAAAAATTTGTGTCACCAGTTCAAAATTTATTGATGAAATTAGTTTTAACCTGTCAGGGTACTTACGGTATTTATATAACACGCACCATTCAAGCCGCTATGCGGTATGCTATGGGTCCTTAACATTATATCTGAGTATAACACCACCCATCATTTGCCCCCTATTTTCAGGGAGAAAAAGTGCGTGCTATACGCCGATAAATACGGTAATTAAAACATGCTCTAAAGAGATGCTGTCTTGATTTATCTCACATTGCATCAGAATTAAGCTATATTCACCAATTAGTACATTATGTTACCTTTTCAACAAAATTTATCGCTGTCCACATCGTATCAGAAAAATTATAGCCTTCATATAATAACAAGTCAATATAGGTTGACTGAAGACAGTACCACATCAAATTGGCTTTTTCTTGCTTTGTTACTGGCAGTTCTAAGAGCTGAGAAAAACAAAATATTTTATTAGAATACAGTTCTTTTAGGTACAACCAGTTAATTTAGCTACACTCTGTTCAGAGTTTCACATAAGACTTAAAATTAAAACAAAAAATAATAATTAAACTTCTGTGACATGTCATAAGAATTGTGCTAACAACATGACAATTTTGACTTTTAAATTAAACATGTATAACATAATTTAGGTTTTAAAGATTTGTAAGAAGAAAAAATAGATTTCTATTTCTTGAGGCATGGATAAATTACAACTACATGCATTGGCTTACAAACCTCAACCCATGATGAATTACAGATTTTCTTTATAGCACTGACAAGATCATTATGCTTAAAGGAGCTTGTGGTGCTGGTAGAAAGATTCAGGAAATTCGTAACATAAAAAAAACTAGAGAAAGCCTGTAAAGAGAGGAAAGAGTTTATGCTTTAAAAGATTTTTTTTAAAAACTTAAAAAAAATGTGAGGCTCACTTAAAAAAAACAAATGTGGATTTAATATATCAATAAGCAATTATTCTTTTTCTTCAAATACAAAATTTGACAACTTAAAAACCAAGATTTTGCCAATGAAAAACTTTGTAACAATGCCATGGTAGAAATTGAACTGAGATGCTTCATTACTTTTTCTACCCACATTTTTTAAGAAGTATTTTATCTCTTAAAAATAGGCATTGAAGAAATACATAAAAGTAATGAAACTTTTAGATATTTACATAAAAAGCCCCTGCCGGCTCTGGTTGGTATATTCCATTAAAGGAACATCTTGAATAAGGGCAAGAGCTAGTGTTGAATAGAGAAGAACTGAGCAGACTTTCACATGCTGATCCATTGCTTGTCCCCAAAAATGTGTAGTTCTGTTGAGAGAAAACTACATTGTGATAATTCATTTAGCAAAAGTCAACACACACACACAAAAAGCATTTTAAAGGTTACTATTACTAGTTCAGTATTTGGTATGAAAATAAAGACTGATGTACATGTTTGTTAAAATCGATAACTATATGGGGGGGGGGGTGAAGGGTAGTGTAGGGAGAGAGAGACAGAATATGACTTAAACCAATAAATAGAATATGGTTAACTCTGGCAAAAGCAATAAACTAACCAACTAACCAATACAGGAAAACCAACCTGGTCAGCAACATCATTAAGGGAGATTTTGGAACCAAATGCATTAAGATAGGCTGCTCCTGTCACACAGGGTGAGCCAAATAATTCTTTGTACGATACTGTTATATTGTATCCCTCTGGTAAACAGGGATGATTCATTTCTGTTTTATTTGAGCTGCTTTCCTAAAATTTTAAATGTAAAAATAATATTTATTAAAAATATTTCGTTTACCTAGCCAATGACTCTTCTGTACATTTGTTTGTCACTTTTGACATATAATGTATAACTAGCAACTAACTTATTTTGCTAAAAAACTTAGTCTACTGTTTATTTTGACAAGCCAGCCTAAAATTTGGGTTTACCTTGATCAAAACAGCCATTATCCTGTTGGTGATCTCCATAACACCATAACATAAGTAGCTGTGTGTGTACACTGTGTAGTTATGTCCAAAAAGTTGAAGAACTGCCGCATATCCAACAGGCATTGTTACATTTGAAACGAATGAAATCTGGGTTGAGGCTCCGCCCAAGTCCAAGGCACCTATGCTGGGGACAATAGTTGGTGCAATGAGACCCTGTACTCCTGGACGCTGCTGAAAATATAGAAAACAGACTTCCCAGTTATAAAAAGGTTTAAATAGCCTTTAAAAAGTTGTGCCCACTTCTTATTTTTGCCATCTCTATCCTTCCTCCCAGTCCGCCTACCGACTTGGTCATAGCACTGAAACAGCACTGGTCCGAGTCATGAGCGACCTCCTGCGCGCGATGGACGATGGCAAACTCTCTATTCTCACTCTGTTAGATCTCTCTGCTGCATTTGATACCATTGACCACCAGATTCTTCTTGACCGCCTTCATCTTTCTTTCGGACTTACTGGCTCAGCTTTAAACTGGTTTCAATCATATCTTTCTGACAGAACTCAAACAGTCTCTATTTCCAACCGCTCTTCCAAACCTTCAGCCCTGTCTATTGGAGTTCCTCAAGGATCGGTCCTTGGGCCTGTCCTTTTCATCCTCTACACTAAACCTCTATCATCTCTCATTAGCCACCACTCAGTTTCCAGTCAATCCTTTGCTGATGACACTCAAATCAGTGACTCTTGCTTTCCTGATCAACTTGATGCCACAATCCTTCGCATACAGGAGTGCGTGGACGATGTAAAGCGTTGGATGACTTGCAACAAACTGAAGCTAAATGATGATAAAACGGAAATCCTTCTCATCCACTCTCAAAACAAACCTCTCCCTCCATTCGCTCCTTCTTCTATATCTATTGGCAACTCTGACATCACACTCTCTCCCTCTGCCAGAAACCTTGGAGTCACGCTTACGGACACCCTCTCCATGGACAAACATGTCACGAATATATGCAGATCAGCATATAACGAAATTAGAAAAATCAGCACCATTAGACACCTCCTCTCCTTTGATGCCACAAAAACTCTCGTCTCTTCACTCATTCTTTCAAAATTTGACTACTGTAACACTCTTCTCGCAGGCATTCCTCAACACCACATAGACAAACTTCAGAAGGCACAGAACTCAGCATGCAGACTCATTTTTAAATCAAAGAAACATGACCACATTCAACCACACATGCAGCAACTCCACTGGCTTCCAATATCCTCTCGCATCAAGTACAAGTCTGCCAATCTATGCTTCAACTCGTTCACTGACCCTCACTTTCCTGTCTATCTCTCTGAACTGTTGCTTCCTTACATCCCCACAAGACAACTACGCTCTTCCATTGACAATAGAACCCTCTCAATCCCAAGAACCAAAACTAAGACCATCGGTGAACGCTCCTTCTACTTCTATGCGCCCACGTTCTGGAACCAGCTCCCCTTCCATATCCGTCATTGTGAAACCTCGTCCACTTTCAAAAAGTCCCTTAAAACCCATCTGTTTAGGTCCGCCTATGACCTGTGATGCACCCTCCTTGCCCTGCCTCATTTTCTGTCTCGGGTTGATCCTGTAGTATAGGCCAAAACGTGCCAAAGTGTCCTCGTTTTATAGCCATTTTAATTGTTTCTATAGTATAGTAGTTACTATCCTAGTGTCTCATTTTTATTTTACTTAGTTTACATGTTTTTAATAATTGTAAAGCGCTTAGAGCTTTAAGGTAAGCGCTATATAAAAAATGCCTAAATAAATAAATAGGTTACGTTTCATGCTTTTGGAGATTCCAAAAAAGATCCTATTAAAGTGTCTAGTAAATAATTTTATGTTTGTATTTTTAATAGCCTTGTTTGAAAATATTTATAAATGTTAGGAGTTGGATGGTGACAAAGTTTTAAGTAGATTAATAAGACACAAACAATATGTATAAATAAAAACAGTATAGTGAAGATTTAATTAAAAGACAAAATACCAATTCAAGACATTTTGGCTAATGTATTCATCTATACAAAAAAAATTGCATGAATATAAACTAACTTTTACAAAATATTTATTTATATATCCTACCTATTAAATAAGTAAAAGATAAACTAGAAAAAAAGGTTGGCACAAGTCCCTCACAAAAAGAAGGATCAGTAGAACAGAAAGAAAATGGGTGGAACTACAATGTAAAAACAAACAGGAAAAGATATAACAGCAATGTAATATTGTGAATTTGGTTAGTATCATATTGATTCAAATATTTATATATGCAGGTTAGTGCAGTTATGAGTATTAAGGCATTAAGAAAAAGAAAACTTTAAGTAGGTTGTAAAACGGGCTTACTACTTCAAAGATAATCATGAGGCAACCAAAGGTTTTTTAACTGTGTGAAATAAATCTTAACTTACCACTTTAAAAGCATTTGTTACATAATTGCTAGTAATCCAGGAAAATGTGCCCTCTTCAGCTCCAGAAATTATTCTAACGGCACTGTCAGGTGAGGTGAATTTAAAGGAAGACTGTTTGAGCACCTCACGGACAGAATTAAGTATTTCATTGCTAGCTGATGAATTCGAAGCACTGAAATTCAAAGGCAAACCTTTTGACATTTTATAAAATGTAAAGAAGGTGACTTAATATTGTTAAGCTGTTTAGCAACTGGAATCATTGTTAGTTAAGTCAACCCTTCAAAAATTTATTTTATACGGTACCTTCATTAATAAATGTACACCCAGTTCTCATGAACTGATGCTGTTATTTTGTATACCCAAACAACATAGAAGTTACTATAATAATTTAAAATCCAGTCTGATAGTACAAAGTAATAGTGGTTAAAGTTCATTCAAATGCAACAAATACACAAAAAAAACACATTGGGGTCAAACATTTAAAAGTTTTACATACTTGAGGAGTCTCATGCCAGCTGTAGCCCCCAAGTAAATAGGAGTCAAGGCATGTTTATCGTAGGGTATGGCTGCTTTAGCGCTTGATACACAATGAATGAGAGACTTGCCTGCCTCTTGGGGATTATTTGCAAATTCAGATATACCAGAACCTACAAAAATACAGAAACTCATTTAGTTGTACACATTTTACAGCTGGCCATAAGGGGGATTTCATTTTTCACACTTTTCCAAAGTGAAAGTAGATTGAATAGTTTTGAAATACATTAAACGATTTGTTGTGCTGTATTGTGATGCAATAAGTTATTGTGTGTGTTTAGTTCATGATATTGCTAGTGCTTGCACTTTCTTAACTTTCTTAATTAACAGTTCATGCTTAAATTGGTAAGTGTAAAAGAATATTTTTTTTTTCTTCTTCTTTTAGTTTTCAAACATAAATTTAATATTTAAAATATTGAATTCAAAGTCCAAGTACACATCCAATTTATTTTTAAAAAAAATGCATTTCTGGGTTTAAGCAGAGGGAATTACAGCTAGTGCTGGAATTACGACCAATGTAACTTAACGACCATTCGACTTTATGACCACAATCACTAGCCATACTGTATTAGATTTCAGATTTATTTCTGCCTCAATTATCAGTCGAACGGCGTTGTCTGCAATCATCGGCGGTCATGAACATCAAAAATTATGATTTATGAACAAAATAAAAGAAATTTATTAATTTAACTTTAATATTTTTATAACATCACTTCACATTACTGTACACATAGCCTACTCAACTTACAACCAAATTGTGTTACGACTGGTCTGTCGGAACCGATCGTGGTCGTAAGTCGAGCACTAGCTGTAGTATCTAAATTTAAAAATAAATCCTCTACATCTTAAAGCTGTCTTTCTAAGTTAAATTTAAAGGCAGTGTATTGCATAAACTAATCCTATAAGGACTGAATTTAACATTTAACAAGCATTCCTAGTAAAAGTATTGTCCCAAAGACTTAAATACAAACTTTTTGAAATCTGGGACATAATAGTGGGAGAAATGGTCTCCTCAACAACATTACTCAAGCAAAGTATGCTACTTCTTGGAAACCACACAAACATTTTTAACCATACTTAAGTCATATTTTCAATTATGATGACTTTTGGCCATTCATACCATCAGCAGTACACTTTTCTCCTAGCTGAACAGCCACAGCTGTTCCATTTAGCTTTGAGCCTTCCCACTTGTAAATGAACATGGCAGTATGAGTAGACCCAGCGTCAAAGACAACAGCATACTGAAATAATTTGTAACATTTGATTTAAAATTTGTAGAAATTAATGAGACATCAATGGGGATCACAATAATTTAATTTTCAATAGCTTAAGTGGGTAATTTTTAGTTGGTAAATGAATTCATTTCAACATGATAATGTTAGCAACAAATTTAAATGAATAAGTCTTTAAAATTTTTACATCAACAAAGCTACTCATAACTTTAAACACATCCGTTTAACATTCTCAATGAAGCGATTCTTAACATCAAAACGATTTGCAAGCCTATTTTTATGTTTATCGAGAATCAAAATACCTTTTTTAAAAAATATGCTTAAACTTAAACAAAATTAATTAAAATAAATAAATTTCACTCCTCTGAATATATTTACATCAGTATTAGGGTCTGCATCTTTAAATTTGATAACACAAATCGCTACAATTCCAACTGTTCCTATAATGAAACTGACTAAGGCTAAAAACCAAAATGTGTTGCATCTACATGGAGTTCTCACATCCACTTCTGAAAAAGAATAATAAAAAAAAAAAAGACTTGTAAGTCATTAAATTATTTTTAAAATAAAAACTTCAAATTAACTTAATTCACTTGAACTACGGAATTCGCCAAAAAGATCATGTTTCAATAAATCTCATTACATTTTTGGCAAGTGTATGACATTATGCAGGGATTGCTTTCTGTTGGGAACAAAAATATATCTTTATCCTATATAACAAAACTCTATGTTGTCGCTTGATACCTTCAATATAGTTGCATGTGCATGCCCACTTGGTGTTAAAAAATTATTTGAGAACAATCAGAAGAATTCTGGCAACAAATTAACCATTTGCCAGGATTCACAATTCTGGCTAGCCAGAAAAAGTTACAAGCCTTAGCTGGGGGGGGGGGGGTTTAAATGATTGACAGTTGTTGACAAGGTGGAGGGGGGGGGGTTTAGATTAGTTGATGTCAACAATCATGTTTTCTCTATTAATATTTTTTTCTTAAAAATTGGCTGGTTTTGACATTATTTTAAAGGGGGGGGGGGGGTTTAAATGATTGACAGTTGTTGACAAGGTGGAGGGAGGAGGGTTTAGATTAGTTGATGTCAACAATCATGTTTTCTCTATTAATATTTTTTTCTTAAAAATTGACTGGTTATGACATTATTTTAAACAATTTATAAGTTTAAATGAGTGTTAATAGTCATAATTTTTAGGCTTTTAACAGTATAAGATTTATTTAATGTGTGTCCATCTGTGCACTGCAGATGGCTGGTAAGAATGTTAGCATACTTTGTTAGTGCAAGAGAAGTCAAAAGTTGGCCTCTCTTCACCTGTAGATTCTGTTGCAAGTATGGAACAAGGACAAGGTTCAAGTGTCGCGTGCAGTCAAGATAAATGATATTGATAGAGCAGGAATACGATATTTTGAGAATTAGGTGATTGTAAAGTGAGTAACAATAATAACATCGCTGCTTGAACAGATTTGCAAAATCTGTAACATCTATTTTGCATCACAAGGCCGAGTGGTCTAAACTGACTCACTCCAAATAGTGGTGTTCTGGAGTTCAATATCCCGCCAAAGCAAAATCGTTAGCCTTGGAAAGCAACTCATCTAAGAGAAGGCTAACTTTGAATTCAAACCAGGAGCCAAAATGATCAATACATTGATCGTGGGCCCTCGAATATGTTTTTTTTAAAAAAGTCATGTTGAAAAAGCATGTTTAACAGCACCGAAATACCCTTTTGAGCGTAAGAAATTAATACCTCCTCCTCAACAAAAAAAGAAAGATTAAAAAAAAAAGACAAATGCGAGTAGCTGCAAGGAGATAGAGCTTAAGGCGATTCACACCAATATTGCTTCTGAATGGTTAGATGTGGCTCAGGGCCGCAAGACGGAAGATGAAGAAGATAAATCAGCTACTATAGACTATGCCCAATAGGGGCATTATTTTATGTTTTTTTCAGGGATGGGGGGGGAGGGGGGGGGTTGCGTGCGTGCAAAACCAAAACTTGGTCGGCTTGTTAAGTTGTTTATCACTGGAGGCGCCACAGAACATAGCAATTTAAATAAAAGCTGCAAATTAGGGGTTGGGGGCAAATGCCCCCCTGCCCTACCTAAATGATGTCCGTGATGCCCATGTTACGATAGAGCAAACCTGACTACTCCTTGGGAAGATGATAGCAGCTAGAAACTATGCTATAATTGTCAGCTTTACTGACAATAATCATAGTTATACCACAAACAATGATATTTAGTCTTTAGAAACCTTTTAAATGATTCTTCATTATATAATTTAAGCGTAAAAACTTTTTAACTTGTTGATTAACAAGATAAAGATCTAATGAAATGTTTTTCCTACAATTTTATGTCATTAAAATAGATCAGAACAAAGTAAAATGTATTATAAATACAGAGAGAATGTTGACATAATTAAATAGGGGGGCCATTGAAAGATTGACAGTTGTTGACAAAGGAAGGGGGGGGGGGTCAACAATTTCTTTAAAATTATTGACGTAATTAATGGACGACCCCTATGAGACCACTATACAGTCATTAATTGGCTTGATCCTTTTTGAGCAACAATTCATACTCTTCAGTATTTTTACTCACTCATGCCCTTGCTTCAAAATGACAATCACTGGAATTCTGGGATGGTCAATCGTATACCCACCCCGCAAGGGTTCAAAATGCTAATTAAATATTGCCATATAAATATATTAATATAGCAAACAAAAGTAAATATTTTATCTTATATTGTACTTATACTTGTAGATATTTATTTGTAAATTTTAATGAACAATATGAATAAAATAATATATTTTTTTTTATAGATTAAATAAATTGTCTTGGGCAAAATATGTCTGAAAGTAGGGTTAAAAATGTTCCTTAATAGTGGATAACTATGACTTTTTAAGGGGATAAACTTAAGTTTTCTCATTAATTTAACTGCATTGATCTCTTTATATTTAGCATCTTTGTAGTATGTATCAGACTGTAGTAATATCAGACAAAATCTTTTCATTTTTTTCAAATACTATAACTGATAGTAAGTTGATTTAAAACAAAGTAAATATTTTTTTTAGACTTGGGCTCTGAAAAACATCAATTGATTTAAGAATAGATACAACCCAATACTTAGCTTTTGATTGAGTGCAAAGCTCAGCTATCAATACATTAAAATTTTAATAACTTTATAGAAAATCAATTCTGTAAGTTACAGTATATTACAGCTGAGAAATTTTAATACTCAATATATTTTCTATACATAAAAACATTCTTCAGCAATGGGATATTGGAAACATAAATAGGAACTTTGCTAAAAATATGAATGACTTACGTTCACTTGTCCAGTGAAGAAATGCACCATCTTGAACGCCTATTTGGACAAGAATATCATTTCTGCTAAGCAAATCATGTTCTTTACTACGTAAACAATATTCAGGTTTTAAGGGTGAATTTGCTTCTCTGCATATTTCTCTCAGTAAAGCCTCTACAGTTGACTCAGGAGAAATCCTTAGCCTGAAACGACCTTGAGGCTCATCAGAAGGAAGAATGCTTTGTATCGTCACTTCAATCTCCTCCATGATTACTCTTTTGAAAAAAATAAATAAAAACTTTTATTAAAAGTATTTTAGAGGCAATAAATAATTTCAAATTTCAGATGGGAAGGCAGTACAACAATTTTAATTTCTGAGATAACATGAGAAATGTGGGTTAAATTTTTGGTTACACTGGTATTATCTAATTTTTTTTAGCCCACCACTCTTGAATAGAGAACAGTCATTCTCATTCTATAGACATAGTCCCCCTTTAGCATAGAAACAGTTTAATACTATTATACCTTACCATTTAAGGATTGCTAAAAACATGAAAAATGTCCTTAATTAGCACTTTTAAGGGAACCATGAGTTGGCAAAATTTTCTTAATTTGTGGTATTTTTTCAGGGGCAGCTGCCCTTAATCGATTTCTCAATGTTCATCAGCCAAAGTGTCAAGTTATTTGGATTATTTTTTTGGTCATGACATTAATTCCAGCTGCACTGACTTAGATGCTTCAAAATATTTTAACCAAATTTTTACAAAATGTTGATATTTGTGGAAATTACTCAGAAGAAATATATTATGTCATCCAGACTTCAGTTGGCACCTCATTATTATGTTTGTTTACAAATCCTCTATTAATCGTTCCTAATGTCTCTCAGAATTCACCAGTGACTAAATTGCACTACCTACAAACACAGTTTGTATCCAGTTTGTATCCTTCTTTCTACTTGTTAACACTGCATACTCCAATCTCTGAATACCAGGTACTTATCCTTAACATCACAACAACACAGAATGGATGCACTGCCCATACCTGGCCAGACTGTCTATTTAATTAGAAAAGTACCATAAATGGTTCACATGCTTTGCCATATTCATTCCTGACACATTTATTACCCCAGATTCCATCTCCTGTACAAGAAGCCAAGATCTGATAACATATAAACCTTTGTTCCAAAATTTTTGATCTTCTGATGTGTTAAAACATAAATTACTTCTACATGTCAAGCCATACCACACCTTAGCTTTTGTGTCTTCCTTCATTTCCATGCAACAATTTCTCATACTCATTGTGCTCTCATGTGATTTCCCAAAAATGCTGTATCAATGAATCCTGTTCTAAAATAATTTTACCCACAAGTTATATTTTTTTTTACTCACAATAAAATTTCTCAAGCGGACCATTTTGGTCTGTTGGTTGGTCAGCACTGCCTTACACTAAAGACTAAGACAGATGCACTTTCATCACTCTTGCGTCTTGCAATAAAATCTCAGCCCCCTCCCTCAACTTCCCCCCACAACATTGTTCTCACATACAGCTCTTTCTCATAATAATCATATTCATATACTACCACACTCCTCCCTCCTATTAGTATTAAACTGTATTAGTATTATAACTTTAGTCTATAATATTGAATTGTATATATTATTATTATATACTTTTAGCCCCCCCCTTTTTTTTTTCTCTTCTGTTCTAGGACTTTGGTTTGAATTAAATAAAACAGACAATGTATCTTACTACCAAGCATCCAACTCTAGACTCAAAACTACTGCATACTGCCTATGTACGATGAACTCAACAAACTCTCACCCAAGTCCAAATGTCGTATCACTGACTGATTGACAGCCACTGTTCACACTCACACTTTTGTGTGTTTGGCCTACTGAAATATATTAATAACAATAATTTATAGTATAGGCCTAGTTATTATATAAAAATTAATGAAGTAATATTAACCTGTAAGTTTATAAGCGCACTGACACCTACCTAAATGTTAATACTGTGAGTAGTGTGAGATTAGGTCAATACTAAAGAACTAACAATATCATCAAGGCATTTATCATTTAATACGTAAAATTTATAAAAGCTGGCGTGACAAATCTCGCCTCAGTAAAGAATTTGATGAAGTGTATCACAGTTTAACATTGTTATCAATTGCAATGTGTTTGTAGCCAGGTACCTTAGTTTAAAACGTTTTTGTAACTAAAGTTAATTTAAGTCAGCCAAACAAATTAATAATACGTTGTTGTACACACATATAGAGTAATATAGACATAGACACACATGTCAGTGTAGTATTATAGTGCATATATATATATAATTGTAACTAAAGTTAATTTAAGTCAGCCAAACAAATTAATAATACGTTGTTGTACACACATATAGAGTAATATAGACATAGACACACATGTCAGTGTAGTATTATAGTGCATATATATATATATATATATATATATATATATATATATATATATATATATATATAAATGAAAGTAAAATGAACATAGTTAACAATGTAATCTTTAAATTTTGTGTGAAATAAACTATCTTTTAAGAATATATAAGTTGCACTCTTATATACAAACAATTTTTAAAATCCTTTACCATAAAAGTGCAATCGCTCAAGAATAAACATTTAAGAACATACAGTAATTTTGAGGGTCTATAAATATTTTTGAAACGTTAACAGTAGCTATTTTCTGGTGGACAATAAAAAAAAATCTTATCAGTTGATTTCAAGGAATATCTAGGTCATATAAATTTAAGCTGGACTTGCTAAAGAAATAGCAACAATCCATCATAAATAACTTAAAAATTAAGATCCTATTTAAAATTTAATTGAATAACTGCAAAATAATTAAATAGTTAACCTTTTGCGAAAGTTATTAATTGCTACATTAAAAAAAATCCCATTTGGCATTTGCTCAGATGGGTATCACTTAAGGGTAAAAATATGTACGCAGTCAAGTGTGTAATGCGAAACAAATAAATATACCTAGCAAATTGGAATGTCTAAATAATCTACTTTGAAAACGAACTGGGTGTAACTTTACCACATAAAATAGCAATTGTAATAAATTTAAACAGATCAATCAATAATAAATTATATATTAAAAATGTCAGTTATAATATGAATGGATTATGATAATAGCGTGACGTCACAGTCTAATTACAAGGGGGCAATATAAAAACTATTGTCGAAGTTTCTTCATGTAACGCGATATTTTTATCTTAGTGATAAATTGTTGAAATGAAAAGATTTGAAATTGAGGTATTAAATACATGAATGATATTTAATAACTTTAAATTTTCTAATATCATTGCTAAAATAAACTTAGCGGAAGCACTTTCTTTGGATGTGTATTATTGAACAAGTGACCTAGATGCGAGTGTCGATTATCAGATTGTTGGTCTTATGTTCACATGCATGCGTTGGCTTGTGAATACGGTGATGCTTTCGATTGTGAAGTAGTGAAGTGTATTTGAAATGTCATTTTTTCAGTTAGAAGGGGCGCCATGCCTTCAACACATTAACTACATGTTTTATAAAGCTTTTAAATATAAATCAAATGAACTTAATAAAATTTTGGCTCTCGGGGATTTTTTCTTTTTGAAAATATTACAAGAAATTTGCATCGGTGAGATTGAGCTACTATGGGAGGACAAGGCATCGAATCAACTCTTCGCAAGCCTCAGATTATATTTTCGACCAGAGCAAACTCCAGATGGCAGATCTGATGATTCTGGAGCGGTAAGCGTAAATTATTTTAATATTTCAGTAGATTTGAATTTGTTTTTAAATGATAAAGTTTGAATTGGTAAATTGTTAAAAGTTATTTGTTATTGTGTTGTTAACTGTTATTGTTATTGGGCCTACTTCTACTACGACCACTTACTTACTAACTAGCCTAATCATTATTTTTTTAAATTTTGAGTTAGTCTTACCTCCAGCTAAGCTGGCTAAGGGTAGTATCGTTTTCTAAGTTAAGATATTTAAAAATAATTATTTTGATGAAAATAAAATGGCTTAAAATCAGTTATAATTAATTAGGCAAGGAGTATGAATGAGTAGGGGCATTCTATAACTAGTAAAAGTTAGGTTAACCAGCCAGGCGATGCCTAATCATTATTAAATGTAGTACTTTACAATTTCATATGATGTCATCTAGGCTTAGGCAAACTCAAATTTTGAAAACTTTAAAATAAATAATGCTTTTAGTTTTACTTACACTTGACTTGACTTAGGCTTTTACTACCTTTTGGGGCTATGTTAGAGAAGCCATGAATGGCAGCTACTGCTACCTATGCCTATTACTATTAGGCCTAATATTGGTGGGTAGGCCCTAATAATATATTTATTTTGTATTACAATAAATTAAGGTATTAATATAAGCCTAGACGCGAAGCATATTTAAAAAAAACAACACTTGAATGTGGTATATTTGCAGTTAGCAACAAAATGTAGGCACTAAATCGGCAAATTCATTAATAAGTCAAATACTTTATAAATGTGAAACTATTAATTATTAAATTTTATACTACTATTAGCTGCACTTAATAACATAAAGTAACTTAACATTTTAAAATTTAAATGACTCTAATTAGTGAATTATTATTTTTTAAGTGCACTTAAAATCTGATTAAATTAATTAGTAATATTTAAAAAAAAATCAAATCTATATATTTATATATTCTCAAATAAAGTCAGCATGTCATGCAGATTACAAGACTAGGCCTCAACAATAAACATTAACATATTAACACATCTTTGACATCTTAACAAGTAGAAGAGAAGAAGTATCTAACTAAAATACATTTACTAGTCATATTTACATTATATTTTATTTATGACTACATTAAACTATAATGAAATTTTTGTCCTTTGTATGAAGTGTTGTGATAAGTCAAATGGGGCTACAGAAATTTAAAATTTTGAAAATCAATGTTTAATTGTTAAAAGTTAATTTCAGTTTATTTGGTTAAAAGGCATAATGATATTTATCCAATCAACCTGATACTGGTTTTATTAAATTATGAGTTCATTCAATGAAATTCAGTTCAAGCCATTAATTTATACAATGTACTAATATGGTGTGCTATACTTATTTTGTGTTAAATAAGACATGTATTAGTATTAGCAAATATTGATGGTTGTACCTATATTTAAAGAAAACAGAGGATAGATAACTGAAGAAGCAAAACGAATTTATTACGTGTTATAATTCTACTCCACTTTACACACAGGGGAAAGGGGTTGGTCATTGAAAACACCTGTGAAACTATGTAAATGAAGAGTGTATGTAAATGGCAGTGTAAGCCACCGACCCCGCCACACTTACACCCCCCCCCCTTCCCCCATTACCCTTTTAAGCCTGCTTGCCGTATGCTCGTGGCTCAAGCCATGTCGCGAGAAAAGGGTAGGAAAGATAAATAATATATGCCCCATTTTGTTGGGTGTTTTTTGCCCATATAATTTTAAAGTCTGCAACAGTTGGGGGTGAAGTTTTAGATAATTTAACTGTTTCTCCTGCTTATCACCGTGAAATAACTTAGAGATCATGCTGTTCCTTTTTAAAAATTAATTAAAAGCGATATTGATTTTTCTACTAAACTATGGCCTTGTAGCTGCGTGGCGCTGTCTTGCCAATGGCCTAAAATTCAGAACTCGGTCTAAAAGGATGTTATATAAAACCCGCTAGATAAAGTACGGGATTTCGACAGTTTATTATGTTGTAATTATTGTAGCCGATGTGACATGAGGCTACTTTATTTTATTGATCCAGCTTTTGAGATTTAAAAACAAGGAAAAGTAATATTTTAAAGAATTCTGTCTTAACGGCGTAAAAAGAAAGTAAAGCAGTTGAATGTTTCGACGATTTTCTTTGTGAAGGGTGGGGGAGATAATCGCAGTGTCGGCATGACTAATGATCGTGTGGTGTGTAAATCCTCAGCATGCAAAGTGATTTACATTTATGTATTTTGGCTTTGAAAGGGTGATGGCAGAATATTAAACCTGTGTGAGAGTGTGTGTAACTTAACCACAAAAACAAACAAGAAAAACAACAACAATTAAGACGTCTTTTAATGAACTTGATGAAACTTCCGAGATAAGTAAATTGTAATATTAGTTTAGAAAGCGGAGCGATTTGATGATATCTGTAGCAGCAAATCGTTTGTAAATTCTGTTTATGAACAATTTTAGTAAAAAATCGATGTGTTACCAACACGACTCTTTTTGGGCTGATTGGTTGTACGCCCATTGCCGTGTCACAGGGAGAAACAAGGCTTACTTAACTGCCAGATAATAGAAGAAATATTTTTTCCATCCGCTCTCCAGTTGACAAGGAGCCATTATAGACGCTGACCTAGTTATTGCAGTGGCTAGATGGGGGAGGGAAGGTTGGGGGAATAACGAGCCAGGGCAAGAAGCAGTAGGGAAATTAAAGTACTTATCAGTCAGTTCTAGCTTGTTTCTATTTTTAGAGTTTAAAAAAAAAAGGATATCGGGTTGGCTTATGACCTATGGAAGCAACTTTGAAAATAGGTACCAGGGATCGAGTTGGCTTATGAAATACCAATCAAATCGACTTTAAAATATGATATCGGGTTGGTTTGTGACCTATCGAATCGATTTTTAAAAATAGGATACTTGTTTGGCTTAAGACCTATCAAATTGAATTTAAAAATATGATGTCTGATTCACCGATGGCCTATCAAATCGACTGTAGAAAAAAGACTACCATAAAAAGAACAACAACAAATTCTTCTTGTCGTACATACGTTTTTAATGGAAGACGTCTGTATTTAAATGGAAAATGTCTGTATTGTCTGGAAATCTTTATGCCCCCTTCCTTATACCCTAAAAGTATACAGTTTATTTACTATAAACGTTTAAAAGTATGTTATTTCATTTTTTATGTAAAATATTTCCATGTTATTAAAATTTAGCGTTGCAGCGAACGCAGTGTACTGTCAACACTCCACTATGACCGCCTCTCGCTCAATATGTGTGCATGCTTACACCCTTGTCTCGGGAGGCAAGTCACAGCCGTCAACGGATACTTAAACACCTGTTGGGTAACGGTGAGCCCACGGTGCCTGCCTTCGTGTGTTGGAAACATCAAGTTATTGGGGTGGGGGTGGAGGGCTTTCTTTCGCTCTCTGCTAAATTAAAACTCACCTCGGCCATTTCATTTTTAGCGTCACGAACAAAGTGCAGACGATGGCATGTTCGCCACTCTTTGTGGCCAAATACCATAACAGAATATATTAACGGTGTTCAGACTTGGTGCATAAACCGAAACACAGTAGGTTCAAGCATCGCCCATGCGCGGGGTTTATATTTGTTTATGGACTTCGTTCAGGCGCTGTCACATAGAAAGGCCTTGTATTCAAATTATATTAAGAAAAGGACATCGCCAAAGTGGCGATCGTCATCTTTGCTGCTCGTCTATGATCGGGTATGTCCTTATGGTGTTTTTTGCAAGCTCGTGATCAATATTGTTTTGACACTTTTGCGTGACATGCCCAGATGAAGATGGAAGGACACTTAGATACACATCTTGGAGATGCGAACTTCAAGTTCTCCTCAGGGCAACACTGACATTTATTTTAAGCATATCACAGCTCTACATCGGCACAAACAATTCCCTCTCTAAAGTTTGACCGCATCACTGATAGTGATATCCCTTATTTATTTGTTGGGGTCCTGCCTTCCTGTGGCTGAATCACTTGCTAGATGTGTGTAGTAATTAGGGGCTCATCCCAACCTTGTCTTGTCCGATAGTTGCAACATGCCAGCGAATTTGAAGCTCTTAAATTGATATCGTCTGATAGATTGGCATGTCACGTAAGTAATTTCTCTAAAGATACGTTTTGCCGTATGCAACAAGTTGCAAAAAGACTGAGAAGTAAAATCAATATGACTTTAAAAAAAATAAATCATTAAAATAATATAGTAATAATTCTGCTGAAGATGGCATGGTCCTGTCTCCATTTTAGGTTGGAAGTTGTCATGATCTGGTTTAACGTTACCGAATTCATCACGGGGGACGGATTAGGCAGGTGGTAGAATGGATTGGTGTTTAAAAAAAGCAGGCTTGACTGGTCGCGTTGAACATTTCTCCCCCTCTTTCTCTCCCCCCCCTCTCTTTCCCTCTGTCTCCACCCCACCTCTCACACAATTGATTAACTGCAGTCTAGCTATAGAACTGTTTATTTAAAAAAGTAATTTTTATCTTTGGTTTGATTGTACCTTGATTTTCATGTTCCGAATATATTTAGTTAAATTTAATTGTTCAAAGCGGCAGCGAAAAATCTGTCTGGATCTTGATATTATTTCGCACATTCCCAAGGGTGATAACTTAAACTCCATCTATCAACATTTAATCAAAATAACAGCAATCTTTAAGACGAAATGGCGGGTATTACTAGGATAGCGACACCGCAACGTTGAAAAAAAAAACAAAACAAAACAAAGAAAGGAAAAAAAGAAAGGTTCTTCGAAAATAAAACCGTTGATTTTCATTTGAGTTGTTACCGAGAACTGCAATTACCGGTATTTCTAGAGTTGATAGCGTTCTTCCATTGTGCCTAACCAACTTCATTAAAAACATATTGAAAAACACTTTGCGGAAGGGTCTTCATCCATCAATTGGGGGGGGGGGGGTTTGCTTGTTTTTATCTGAATTATGCCTTGTGTGTTTCCGCATACCACGCATGTTATAACAACCTTATGTTACACGTCAA